TCTTAGTCCTATCAATGTGATCGCCGAGATGAAGAAGTACGCTGAGACACGCACTCGCGATGCACGTATGCGCTGGTTTTGGGAGATGTGAAAGCGTGAAACATGTCGGAGTTGAGATTGGTCCGAGGTCAAGTATTCCCTCACAGAGAAATGCGAGAACTGGACATAGCGATCGCCGTAGACGTCGACGATAGTGACCAAAGTGGAACAAGCGGCAAGTACAAATTCTTCCGGGTCATCCGGGCGCAAAGCAGCATCGAACCCGGGAATCGTCTCCCCATTTGGCTGGATCGCAAACATTTCTGCAAGTTCTTTGACGCGAAGCGGGCGCATGGATGTGGCGAGGCACTGGAACAATTGATGAGCATAGTTCCATTTCTCCTTATCGATCTCCTTCAAGGCCCGTTCGTATGTTTGGTATAATGTTGCGGGCAACTCCTCCAAAATACGTCCAATGCTCTGCGGAAAACAACGACTGAGCGTTTCAAGTTGACAATAGACCCATCGGAACCTGATATGTTGAAAGTGAGAAAGCTACATGATGAAGTGAGTCATAACTTACATCCCGTTAGCCCTTTGAACGAGCGCATCGATGACCCGGTTCCTATCCTCTTCTCGCCAACGCCGCATCTTTGGATGTGAGGGGACGACCCACTTGATGTAGTCGGTAATATCCTGGTGATGTCCGACTTCGTCATGAAGAGAGACACTGTGGTTTGCCAAGGGCTCAAGAACACCTCGAATATCTATCTCGGGCCGACTGGTGATGCAGAAGTGTACATGTGGAAGGCGTAGATTGACGAGCTCCTCTAGGAGCTTGAGGACCTTTGCGCGTGGAGGCGTCAATCCGCGAGAATCCGGACATTCATCGAGAGCATCGATGATGATGTAGAGTGCATCTCCCCGAGGAAGCGTGAGCATCTTCTTCAGGCATTTCATAAGGGCATCCTCCGTAGGTCGTTCGATGCGATTGTTGCGGTCCAAATACAAGTCATAGAGGATTGCGAAAAACTCATCAGATTGACTGGAGAGTTGGATTAGGAGGGACGATAGTAGGCTGTGGACGTCTTGCTTTTTAGTGTCCCGGAAGTCGAAGTAGTAGTACAGAATGATTGCTGATCCAGTCCGACACACGTCCTGGACATCTTCGATGATTGCTGAGCTAATGACAACATGAATAAACATATGAAAGGATGGTTTGTTGTAAGACATGCCATAAGATGCTCTTCCCTGACCCGGCTAAGACATCGGACAATGTGAATAGCAGGAAAGACGCTTAGAGAGGCACGTACGTAGGCCATGGATCCACAAAAGAGATCCAGTCGATTTCCATTGCATAAAGATATCCCCTTGCATAAGCCACGCAGCGGTACCAGGATGACATGCTTCGCGCGCAATACTATGGTTGATCGAGGGATCTGGCGCAGACAGCCAACGGCAAACTTCTGGCAACTTGTCACCTGTCAAGTATATTCAGATTTTATACCCAGAAACGTAGAGGAAAAGACGGACGCTCCATCTTTTTTACCAGCTCTTCCGTCAGCACTACCGGGTCACATTCAGTTCAACATGGTCGCACAGGTCAGGTGACGTGGACTCACAACAATTCTTGTTTGTTAATGTTTTGAAATCTACCAGATCGGCTCTTGCTTACCAAGCAGATAACCATGAACTGATTGAGCGATGCGCACCTTCGATCGTGGCACGAGTCTGCGCAACTGCCACCAGAAGCTCTTCCTGGGTCAGTTTATTGAGCCTTTGCAGCGCTGATTCGATCTCATCATCTCCTAAAAAAAATTTCTTCGCGTATTTCTCTATCACCAGGTTTAAGCCATGGGTGATTGTGGGCGATGATAGGCTTACTGATTCGTCCCTGGCTGACCTGTTTGGTCGCGAGAGCGAGGACTGATAGTATCTCGACCATTATCTTAACGATGGTTTCAGTCATCGCAGGAGCGGACGGAATCTCGGCATAAATCATGAGCCGGTTCAAGAAGTTCTCGATATGTTCGAAGATTTCGACGAGGGCATCGTAGCTTGCGCTCACCGACTTGACCGTCTAGTAATCCCTGATATCAGACGAACCGGTGGGAGGGGCGAGGGAGAGACCCACAGAAAGAAGGACGCCGATGCCGAGAAAATAGCGTCCGCAGGGGGAAAGGCCTACAGAACTGCGTCAGAAAAGATTGACAGGAAACTTGGTAGGACGCACGAAAGTAGCACAGGTGCTGAGGACAGAACTGGTAGAGAGGGTATGCAACGTGATGACTACGGGCCGAAGCGACCTTAAGAATTTGCTACCGCCATCACCAGTCCTGTATTTATGAAATCCCCGAGCCTGCTCTTGGAATATATTAAGGAGGGATTCGAGGTTCTTGCACCCAGTGATCTCGGAGGCAAGCGGGTGGTTTCTGAGATCTTTATGCGTCCGCTCTATGTATTTTTCCAAGCGGCATCATAGAGAGCCTCGAAGTTGGAGCGAGTGGAGGTTGTATTGCTTGTGGGGGACATATGATTATGGGAGAGATGTTCGACATAGCGAGTGGAGATGCCCGTTAAAATGATGATGTGCAGATACCTGTGCAGTTCTCAACCACCGCTGCGTTGGCGGTTGTATACAATGCTTCATCATGGGGAAACAAGGACCCACAAGTCGAAACAACGCGATGAATTGTCATGTCCTTGTCTCTGGCTCTCTGGCAACACCACCGAGTGCCACGGATGATGAGCAGCGAAGGCGGGACAACGATACCCACGCTTGTCACCCACGAGGAACAGCAACCCAACGTAATTGACGCCCCACCGAGGTAACCGACCCCCAGTCTCGAATCGGAAAGCACAGGAAACAAAACTGTCAACGAGGACGTCTCTCCCCATGGCCCATAGAGATGCCGTGGGTGTTGTTCCACTGTTGTAGCGTTTGGCCGATGTATTGCAGCGACTAGTTGCTCTGACTGCTCTACGAGAGCCAAGAGGACAGCGTCATCACGTGGTCCAAGGCTATTGTAAACTTTTAAGGTAGGAATGGGAACATCGATTAATATCGGAGACAAAGAGCCTGCCCCTTGCCGGTAGCCAGGGCCGTGGGGGGTTAATGTATTCGTTTCCCGTGTTTCACAGTAAAGCATGTTGAGAATTGATCGCTATGTTGCGATCATAAATGCCGGACGTCGCAGCGCCGAGCGAACCTGCTGGGAAGCATTGTATCGACAGGGCTTTTGTTTGCTGACGACTATCACAATTGAGCGATCAAGAATTGATCGTGTGCAGTACTGCCTCAAGAGGAGCGCGGGTCGTCGCGGTGACAGATTTGCAAAAAATCGGATTCGTCGCGGAGACACGGGTTTTTTGCGTGACAACCCACGCTATGTCACAATTATTTCAAATTGGTGACGCGTTGGTTGCTCTCTCTTTCTGCCACCTGCCCCAGTGAGTCCTCCCTCATCGAATTTAACCCCTTTCACATGGCACATGGCCCCCTTCTGCGTTATCTTTGCTAGAAATACGTTTTCCGTGAGTGCTATTTTCGCCTGAGTTGCTGAATTGTGAGTTGTACAACACGGCCCATATCCGTCTGCGTGCCATGCGCCGGCACCGACACAACCGTGTACCGGATAAACAGGTTGGATTTTTGTGCGGACCGTAACGTTAAGATGCACTGGATCGGAACTTGGTTGATACCCGTACGCTCACATGCGGTTTAACGTCACAACCAAGAACCAACTGAACCTGAAGCCTGCCAGCCGACGAATCGTGTTCCCACCTATTCCGATAACGTGGTGCGCCTCACATGGCATAGTATTAGCGGCATAGAGTTCTTTCAGGCTGATTTTTCCCGATATGCGAGGCCTGTGTCGTCTTCTGATATTCACCTTTTCTTGCCCTTGATATTCACCTTTTCTTGCCCCTTGATATTTTTTCCCCCTGTTAGACCGATAAGCGATAACCAAGAAAGCACGGCATCCATTCGTATGACAGGGTGATGATTTCGCGCGACGACCGGGATAGCTGGCGCTCGTTCTGTGGTGAACGTTTTCGTGGTAGGACAAGGATCGCCCGAAAGATTCTGTATGTGCAAACTCGCATGTACAGAACTGCATATACAAAGGCTGGTAACTGCACATATGGGGAACGCCAGTGCCAACGCAAAACTGAATCTTCGCACTTATGATTTGGAATTGTTAGTAATTTACGTGTAAAGAGCTGGACAAGGGATGCCTGAGCGGCCGGTTGTGCGTGACGCACGACGCCGTGGTTTCATTTGCGGCACGCTGATCCGTCGTCGTCGTGACGGGTTCCTCAGTAATACAATGCAACAGAATCGGATGGAGGTGGCAGGTCTGGCACTCCGAACGGTCTCTCAACATTTCTCGTCTCGACTCTCGACTTGTCGACCTACTTGACACGATCCGGGCATTCGCGGATCTCAATCTCAAGCGACCGAGTCCGCCAGAGAATTGAGATCGGGGTCGTTGTCATCTCTGTTCGCTAAGCGCCGCTGTATCGGGGGTTCGCGCTGGCGCCCGATGTGATCTCGCGCCGTCCCTTTTTCGGGATCAGATCGCCAAGTGTTTGTTGTGTGCCCTTGTTGACCATCATAGGTCCCTGCAACGAGAACAAAAGACCATGGCTAGTACCTCTAGATCTGTCGCATCGAGCTCGGGTGGGATGGGGTTCGGCCGCCTCAGGCTCGTCTACACGTCGACTCCCTGCGCCATTCCTCTTCTCTATCCTTGCCGTCGACGTCAACTTTGCTTCCGCTGTCAAAGTTGGTCGCGACTGAGCTTTGCCTTCCTCACTGTGCATAGTTTCCTGCGCTAGACGGGGGAACGAGCATGGCGTGATGAGGTTTTCCCCCTTGGTTACTTTCGCCGAGCTCTCCATGCGTCCTCGTTCAGTTAGGATCTTTCCCGTGCCTTGCAGGCTTGGCTTATCTCTTTTTGGAAATTTAATTTTCATCCAATCAAGTTTAAGACGAAGCTGGTAAAAGGATTCGTCATCCTTCGATAGCTCAGTTGGAAGAGCGTGGGACTGTAATGGAAAACATAAGATTGTGCAATCCCAAGGTCACTGGTTCGACCCCGGTTCGAAGGATGTTCCTTTTTTTTGTTCCGCCTCCAAGCGCACATGCGCCCCACAACACCCCGGAATATTAATAGAGAAAGGGGGCGCTCCACGAGGTCCGCCAAACCTCATCTTCCCACAGACCCAGGCGCGGCACGACCCTGCCTTCCAAGTCAGCTGAGTAGACACCCCACAGTACATAACGAGAACGAGGGAAAAGCTCCAATTGAGTTCAAAACGAAAAAAAAATAAATGCGAACTTTTCGTCCTCGTTTTGCCTATAATGCTGATTTCCGCATGTTGTGCTAGGTAGGACAGCTAGATATCAAGCGACCCATTATATTCTGAAGCAATCGTCGCGGGCTTGTGGCAGCTTCCCCCAAGGTAGTTCATCACTGCATCACCAATCGAACGTCCTACTGTCATCGTCAGGTCACACACGCTTTCGACGAACGCCGCGACTCTCCTCTATCTCCGCGCTCACCATTCCACCACACCTACCTTTTACATACATGTATTGACTCCATTGACATAATCGTGCCCGTCTCGTTCACCCCGGACCCTCGTTCTCGCTCGCCCGTAATACAGACAATTGCAGGCAAGGGGCAACTTGAACGAATGCTCCGGTTCATCAGGCGGCGGAGTGGCGGCGTGCCCAAGTAATGCTGCCTTTCTTGGTGTATTACCCACACGTTTCAAAGGACAAAGGCTAGATATTCGCAGCCTGCCTTGTCCAAGAAACCAGCCAAAGCCCCCGAGGGACCACATCCAGGTTCCAGCCCCCGCCAATGCACCCCCGCGCGCTCCGCACCCTCAGGCTGCAGATCGTGAAATCGCGAAGGCCAGGACGCACACATATATCCAACTACTAGTAGAGGAGCGCCGCGAGCTTTGAACTAGCCGGGTCCTCTAAAGCCTCTCAATATTAATTCTGTTTGTTTGACATCAGGAAAAACCTCCCGCGCTAGCGAGCGATAATCTCGTGCTAGCGAGCGATAATTACGCGCTAGCGAGCGATAAAATTATCTTCGCTAGATTATCTTCCTTAACCCTATCACGCATAATTTAGGGACATTATCTTCGCTAGATCTTCGCTAGCATTGATAATGGTGATAACTCAGTGATAATTGGGCAATAATTCAGTGATAATTCAATGATAATTGGTGATAATCGATAATGTTTGATATTCATATATTCATAATTCATGGCAGTCCGCTACTCTACCACAACATTGTACTATAATCAAGACACTCTAAGACACTGAGACACTTTAAAACACTTCAAGACACTTTTAAATGCACTAATACGCTATGATAAACACGACCGTAAATAGGAGCATAGAACACGCGAGCATAGAACACGACTCACCATATTCGTATTCGTAGGAACCACAGAAGCTATGCGAGTCAAGCATATCCCAAGGTTGGTGAGAAGGAGAAGTCAAGAGAGCAGGATGGAACAGACCTCGAGAAAGCAGAAGCAAAGTCGGAAGTCGAGAATCAAGTCGACTTAGAAGACAAGGAGGAACGAATGTAAAATTGAGAGGGGCGCACTGTCCTTGCCCCCGTCTTCCGCGCGGTCATCCGCCGCTGCCGCGCTGAGCTCAAAGAGTGTGCAGCGGCTGATCGTTGTGACGACTTCCGTGGGTGCAGGCCGCGCAGCGCCACACGCAGCAGGTGGCAAACCTCGTCGATGAGCGCGAGGTGCGGGCACGCGGCAGGCGCTGCCGCGCTGGCAACCTCGTCGATGAGTGCGCTGCACGCATGCATGGCGAGTGCAATGTGCGTGAGCGCGGGGGAACGGGCGACGGGAGACAGGAGACGGGAGATGGGCGACGGACGACGGGCGACGTGCCATCGAAGCCGGAGAACGAGGTCGTGTACACGTGGGTGACACTGCAGGGGAGGGCTCGCCGAAGTGCATTGGCGCAGGACACCCGGGGTGGTAGAGCATCAGCACGCGAGACAAACGAGGGAAGGAAGGGGGTGCTTACATAGTCAGAGGGATGCTCAGCGGTTGGGCGGGAGCTCGTCGGGGGGGACCACAACGACTGTGGTATTGGTGTGGAGAGGGCCGATGTCGTTCGGGTCCAGCGAGGGGAGTGCGCCGAGTACGCGCAAGCTGGGGTGGATCACTGCGGGAAACGGTTGGATCAGAACTGTTGTCAATCAAAAAAACGCGCACCTAAGCTCAGGGTGAGGAGCCGCCCGCAGTGGGGCGTGCTGACGCAGGCAGTAGCGCATGCGCCAGGCAGCGGGAGGCCTCGAGCGAAGGGGGGCAGTGCGAGGGGGGACATGCGCGAGCAGCTTCATGCTACTGCTGGGCGTAGAGGGGACATGTCAGTTTACTTTTCCTAAAAAAAGTTGAACTTACTTGGTGGGGAGAGATGGGAGAGAGGTACTGTGGGAGTGAGAACAAGGGAGTGAAAACAAGCGGGTCGAACTTGAACATGTCACATGACACGGTGTTATCATTCTTGAGGGCCGGCTAGCTTGAGGCCTTGCGAGGACTCGACAGCGTCGTTGTTGTTGTTGTTGCCTGCCTGTGGTCAGCCTCGAGTTCGTCTCCAAAACATCCTTCAAAGTGTTCCCTCTTCGCCCGATCTTCCCCCAAACCTTGGTCAAAAAGTAAGGAAATCAAGTCAACCCCTCCTCCAGACACAAAGTCAGCTAGTCCGCGTCGTCACAACCCGACAATCCTCCGAACGCCCCGCTCCCGGCGCCCCTGTTGCCCCCACTCCCTCATCCTCCCCTTCGAGCTCTTACCTCAATGGCCCCACCAAATCTGACCCTGCCACGTCCAATCTCACCGCGAGCACACAGCAAGGCCCTCCCTGGCCCACAGCCTCCAGCCGACCAGGCCAAAAGCCCAAAAGTTGTCCGGGTCATTTCACCGGACCACATGGAAGTCATTGACAATTATCGAAATTATCTTTCTTAGTGTAATTATCAATTGAATTGAGTCGCGCATCGCTTAATTATCAAATGAATTAAGTCGTGTCCATCGCGTAATTATTGCTCGCTAGCACGAGATTATCGCTCGCTAGCACGGGAGGTTTTTCCTGATGGCCCTTGCCCAATTCCCTGATCGGGAACGAGTTGCCTCACCCACTACACTCTAAAAGTTGACGCCACATTATGCAGATAGTAGATCCCAGATGCCCTCATAGCAGATGAGACAATGCCGTCAAACAATCGACAACACTGGAGGAAATTATCCCCCCAATGATTTCCTCCAGTATTGTTGATCATTTGGCCATCTCATCCACTATGAAGGCATCTGGCCATGTCACCTAATCTCAGAACGACTGAATTCATCGCATAAAGCTTCGACATCTTCACCGATTTGCCTGACCTAATATAACAATCCCGGAGTATCCAACTCCATTGTTCCTGCGTAGCGTGCTTCTTCAGGAGGATCCTCGCTATGCTTGCGCAAGAGCTCCACAACCTGAATGTGACCATTGTCCGCCGCCAGATGCCACGCGGTACAACGCTCCTCGTTCTTCGCGTTCACATCGGCGCCGTGGTCGAGCAAAAGCTGTACCACCTCCAAGTGTCCCTCCTTCGCCGCATCATGCAGCGGGGTCTCTTCCTCCGAGTCCCGAGCATCCACGTACGCGCCATATTCCAGCAGCACCATCACGACCGCGATCTTTCCCTGGAATGATGCGATATGCAATGGTGTGCTGGCGTTGCTAGTCTGCGCGTTAGGATCCGCTCCGTACTCGAGTAACAACCGCACGACGTGTTCGTGCCCATTTTCCGCTGCAATATGCAGCGGAGTCCAAGCGCTAATGCCGGAGTGATTCGCATTCGAACCATGCCCCAGCAGTACCCTTGCGGCCTCCAATCTTCCCTCCCTCGACGCTACAAAGAGTGGAGTCTCCCGGTCAATTTTCTCGGTGTTTGGTTCCGCGCCATAGGCGATGAGCGCCTGCACGATGTCGGCGTATCCATGATGTGATGCTATGTGTAATGGGGTTACACTCCAGAGGTCTCGAGAGCCCACGTCGGCACCACGCTCCAGGAGGAGCAGAACAATATTCAGATGCCTCGTGTCCGCCGCCGCGTGTAGGGGAGTCACGTGCGTCCCACCGCGAGTATTGACATCCTGCGGATGTTCATCGATGAGGCGCTCTGCGACGTCACGGAAACCGCATAGCGCGGCGTAATACAACGGGCTTGCATCGGGAAGCTTCGGGTTATGAGTGTACCCGGGGGAATACTTGTCAATATCGTATACCCATATCCAGGCCGCAAAATGTGGCTTGTCCCTGTCGAACAGGCGCTCCATCCCATCTTGGATATCCAATGATACATCTTCAAACTGCGCGTGATCAACCCAGTGCTCCGCCGCATACCAAGCCAGGGGGAAGTTCCGAATTGTTGTCTTGTTGATGCGGTTATGCAACTGAAGGAGCACGCTGAGGCACGCTCCAGCGAGAAGAGAATGCGCCGGCCGTTGGAGTATGTGAAAGTGGGAGACATGTTCCGAATTTGCGATGCGATTTGAGGTCAAATATTCTCTCACAGAGAAGTGAGAGAACTGCACGACCTTGTCACCATGGACGTTGACAACAGCGACCAAGGTGGAACAAGCGGACAGTACAAATTCTTCTGCATTCTCGGGGCGCCAGCACGCATTGAACCTGGGAATCGATTCCGTGCTGGGCTGAACCGTGAAAAGTTCGGCTAGTTCCTCGACACGAAGCGGGCGGATTGATACGACGAGGCACTGGAATAGACGATACGCATAGTCCCATTTCTCCTTGTCGATTCCTAGCAAAGCCTTTTCGTACGTTCCATCCAAGGTCGCCGGCAATCCATCCAAAACATTTCGGATACTCGGTGGGAAACAACGACGCAGAGTTTCCACTTGGCAGTGCACCCATCGGAACCTATGTCGGGGTGAGCTATCAATAAAAATAACCACGAGAGTTGTGGCTTACATCCCGCCAGCTCGCTTCGTCAGGGTTTTGATGACCAATTCCTTATCTTCCTCTCGCCATCGGCGCATCCTTGGGTCTG